AAAGAAAGGAAAACTAATGGAAGTGTAACTATTGGCCTTGATCGCTGCCTCATGATACATTGATTCCTCCCGATAATTTGTTTTTCTAGGACAAAGAGATGACGAAGGTGATGAATAATATGAAAAATATTTTCTTTTGAAACCCTTGAGACTATTATGCTAAATGAAATAAATCATTCAGAAAAAGACAAGAACCATATGATTCCACTCATATGTGGGATATAAAACTGAAACTCGTAGAGACAGACAACTAACTGTATGGTGGTTACCAGAGGGCAGGGGATGGGGATTGGAAAGATTAAAGGGAAGCAAATATATGGTAATGAAAGATGATCTGTTGTTGGGTGGTGGGCAGACAATACAACAATATACAGATCATGTGCCATAGAAATGTAAAGTTGAAACCTGTATGACCCTATTAGCCAGTCACCCCAATAAATTTAATCAAAAAATAAAATAATTACACACAAAATCTTTTAGTACATTTCCTACTTTATCAAATTGATTATTTGACCAAGTAATCTTCCTTTTCCTTCATTTTATGAAATTACTCATTAGAATATACATTTTTCAAATATAAAATATTATTTAAACCAGATTTTTAAAGATAATAAATGTGCATTTTAAGAAAAATATAAATGTCACTTTTTACTTTTTGAACATTAAGTTATTTCCTTCCTCTTTACCCAAATATAGATTTATTGGACAACTAGCCAGATTTGCCTATGGACCTTGCCTATTCTTTCAGTTCTGATTATGAGTATTTGGTAAGAGTATATGCTTTTAAGTGAGAGGAAATTTTCCTTGGCTCAACCATGTGCATTTCCCCGTGCAATGGTCTGCCGTGCACTGTTCTGGTCTGCTCCTTGCTGGTCTGCTCTGGCCTGTGCTGGGCTGCTCTGCACCTGATACCTCTCCCGTGTTTCAGCTCAGCCAGGGACGTGCAGACTTCAGTCTTCCATGGGAAGGGGAAGTGCGCTCTTGGAGCCTGGGGGGAGCTGGCCTATGTGGGCAGAATTCCCTGTCCCAGGACCCTCTATGGTCTGTCCTTATGCAAACGAGGACTCCAAATCCTTGATGTTTGATTGGTCCAAAAGGTACTATCCTGATTGGCCAGAATAGAGCCACTATGTTTGGTCAGACCTGCACAGCTTCTATTGGTTGGTGGAAATAGGATTTCAGGAACTCCTGTCTAAGGGCTGGCTCAGCAGGCAAGAAGATTGTACAGGCTGGCAGTTGAGTGCAGGCTTCTCCCTGAAATGTGGTTTGTGTGAGGCCTCTGAGCAGAAATGGCTGCTAGGCTCTGATTTATTTATTTTAATATATGTTACTGATTTTTTACAGAAGGAAGGGAGAAGGATAGAAAGTTAGAAACATCCATGAGAGAGAAACATCTATCAGCTGCCTCCTGCACACCCCCTACTAGGGATGTGCCCACAACCAAGGTACATGCCCTTGACTGGAATCAAACCTGGGACCTTTCAGTCTGGAGGCTGACACTCTGTCCACTGAGCCAAACCAGTTAGGACTAGGCTCTGATTTTTAAAATTTGAGACCAGTTAGCCACCCACAAGGAGCCCTTCTTAGTAGATGTCTTTTTTCTTGGGGTTCACAGAAAGTACTACGTAATGAATAGTGTGTGTGCATATACTGTGTATAAGCTGGGTACTCTATGTGTGCATAGAATATACTCTTTTCATGTCTAAATTATAAATCTCTATCGTTATTTCATACTCTCATGGCATTACTTTATGTGCTAATTTCTTCACATTATTTAATCAATTCTTTATTATTACCTGTATAGATTTTTAAATTCACTATTATAAACAGCCTCATGATAAATTTGTACATATAGTTGGCATAATTATAACTTCTCTTGGATAGAAAATTTAATTCCAAAGTGAACTTGCTATCTGAAATGGAGCTTGTTTTAAGACCCTTTGACTTGAAACAGCACATTTTTCTTGAACAGCTGTACAAATTTATATACTCACCATGATTGGAAGGAATTATACTTTTCTTCACTTTTGCCATCACTGAATATATGACATATTTAGTCTTTGTGAATATTCAGTTCAAGTTCTTTTCCCACTTTTTACTCAAGTGCCTGTTTATTTTTTCTCATCAACATGTTCTAGCGATATTTTAAGATTATTAGTCCTTTTTCATCTTTCATGTGTATAGCAGTTTTCCAACTTTACTGTTTGTCTTTTATTTTGTTTACAGTGTTTTCTGCCATACAGATAGTTTACATTTTTATTATTATATTCACCCTTAGGGAGGCCTTTTTTCTGCCTAAGACTATAAATATGTACAATAACCTTTATTTTCTACTAGTATTTTCCCATTTTTAAATATTGCATTTTATTGTGAATTGTATGCTTATTATGCTTATTTTTTTTCCTCCTGTTGATCTATTGGTATCTATATCTATATCTATATCTATATCTATATCTATATCTATATCTATATATATGTGTGTGTGTGTGTATGTGTGTATGTGTGTGTGTGTGTGTGTGTGTGTGTGTGTGTAGTTACAGTTATTTCCCATTTCTAGATTTTAAAGTACAGACCTTTTTTGCCTTAAAATGTGACACTTCATTGGAAGCCCCTCTTCACCACCACCCTCTTAATATTCAGTGTGCGTCTTTCCTGTGCTGTGGCACATGGGTGGTTATAGTGCTCCTGCTCTTGGAAGAATGAACACTCACTCCTGATACATGGTCAGCTTGGGTCACATCCTGACTTTCACTCCGGCTGAGCTCTGGGGAAGAGAACCCAGGGACCCGCCAAGCACCCAGGGTCATGGTGCAGGGCGAGGCCAGCAGGCAGATGCCACCCTCTGTGACATGGCCCTCAGGGAGCAGTGGCCACAGGTACCCCCGCACTTCAGTAAGGATTTTCTTCAGCAGCTGTCCTTCTTGATTCTGGAACATTTTTTATTCTTGCATTTTGTGCCATATTTGAGATTTCCTGAGACATGCCTCATAAACATTTAATTAGGAAACTGTGTGAGGACATGTTGTCACTTTCCTTGAAGCTGAGGTCTTTTCTCCATCCCCATCCTCCATGTATTCAGTGAAATGAAATACAGCATAGCTGTATGGCATATCAAGAATCATCCCATAGATTCCAGAAGGTCGTGGAGAAATCTCAATGTTCTCATAACATAATATTTTATTATGCTCAATTCACGCAATAAAGGGAGGAAGGGAAACCCCCAAATCAGTAGCTAATTTTACTATGTCGTAGGAGGGGACACATTTCACATTCCACTGCTTTGGAGGCTCTGTACTGAACAGGAAACCTAACTTAGACTGTGTTTCTTAAAATGTTGTCTAGAGCTCATCTACCTCAGAGTATCTTGGATAATAAAAAACAGTGATGAAAAGTCTTCCAGTGAATAATATGTTGGTATTTTAAAGCAAATGTCTTAATTTTCTTCAAAAATTAGAAAGACAAAGCCATTACTAGTTAGAATGTAGTTTCTTCATCCAAGATGTGCGACTGGGGGATGTGGAAGGCAGGTACCTGCATCGTTAACAGATGTGATGCCCTGTATCCCAAGTATTCTATATCTAGACGTTAAAACTGGAATAATGAAGACAATATAAAACAAACACTTCATGTTGTCTTTCACTTTGCAGATAAAGTTAAACAGGATACCATTTCCCATAATTTTAAAGTATTATTTAGGGGAAAAATGTATTTTTTTTTAGGTACAGTAACTACTTGGCTGTACTATGGAATGCTTCACTTAATTGGATGCACTAATGTAGACAGTTACCTATCTGTAAGCAGAATTAATGCTTTCTGGTCTCTTTTTCATACCAGACTAAACCTCAGTGATTAATTTTTTTGAAATACTGGAGCGTTGGCCAATATGTAAACCTTTCTGTGATGATGTTGTCGAAATCCAACCCTTCATGTGATTATTGACGCTCAAAGAGCTTCTGTAAGACTGTTTTCAAGCTCCTGCTTAATTACATTTTATTGGGGCCAATAATTAAAAATGAAGCAAAGCATGAGAGTGGGTTTCAGTTTAATTTTATTTATGTTGGAAGCGAACACAACCTTGACTGAATTTCCAAACTTTTGAGTTACTCATTTATGTAAAAGTACTGTCAACAAAACAAGCTCCTGCAAAGAATTACTTTAAAAATTATACCACACGACTTTTGACTTAAAACCGAAATACATATTTTATATGTTCACCGGGAGATGTGATTTCACTTTTATGGTGGTATTGATTCAGATGAAAAGTATGAATATTTTACCATGGAACGTTAAATAACCCAGGGGCCACTCATCCTATTTTAATACTAGAGGCCCAGTGCATGAAATTCATGCATGGGGGGGGGGGTTCCCCCCAGCCCAGCACACACCCTCTCCAATCTGGGACCCCATTGGGATCAGGCCTAAATGGGCAGTCAGACATCCTTCTCACAATCCAGGATTGCTGGCTCCCAACTGTTCACCTGCCTGCCTGCCTGATTGCCACTAACCGTGTCTGCCTGCCAGCCTGATCACCCCCTGACCACTCCCCTGCCAGGCAGATTGATGCCTAACTGCTCCCCTGCTGGCCTGATTACCCCTAACTGTTCTACCCTGCTGGTCTGGCCATCCTTAACTCTCTTCCCCTACAGACCTGGTCCCCCCAAATGCCCTCCCCTGCAGGCCTGGTCACCCCCAACTGCCCTCTGTGCAGGCCTTATCACCCCCAACTGCCCTCCCTTGCTGGCCTGATTGTCCACAACTGCACTCCCCTCCCCTGCTGGCCATCATGTGGTGGCCATCTTGTGTCCACATGGGGGTGGCCATCTTTGACCTCATGGGAGCAGCCATCTTGTGTGTTGGAGTGATGGTCAATTTGCATTTTACCTCTTCATTATATAGGATGGATCCAGCCTGTACACTAGTAAACCTACAGGTTCTTCAGTGCATCTATCCCCACATCCCGCACTCCGGCGGGTATCTGATCGTGCGTGTTTCTCCCACAGGCGTATGCGGGCAGATACCTGGAGGAGCAGCTGCGGGCAGTGTCCAGCGTGGACGAGCTCATGAGTGTGCTCTACCCGGAGTACTGGAAAATGTACAAGTGCCAGCTGCGGAAGGGGGGCTGGCAGCAAAGCCACGACCAGCCCGGCGTGGGCCCGAGGACAGAGGACACTGTAAAGTTTGCCGCCGCGCATTATAATGCGGAGATCTTGAAAAGTAAGTGTGGGAGAGGAAAGACACAGAGGGTCACACCGCAGCACCGCTGGGGGTGGCCAGCCTGCGCCGTGCATTTCGGTGCCGGGACCACTGGATGTGTTCAGGGCCAAAAGGAAAGGCTGTTTTCCAAAGGCACACTTTCAGGATTTCACCGAGAGTGGTTAGGTTGACTTATTGAAATAAAAAGGGAAGAGTGCATGCCTACCAGCACACTTAAATTTTTAAACATTGGTGATATCTCACTGCCCAATTTTAAAGCATAAGGGTATTTCACACAGCCTGTGAGTTTGATCATGGAGACATTCTGTAGCTTATAAAATAATTGCACAAACATGTTTTTTTCTGGTGTGGATTTAGAAGTGTCTGATTTCGAACTCAGTCCAGCTCATCTACACAAGCACCACTTGTTGCCCTGTGGTCTCACAGGTCACTGGCATCAGAGAGGGACTTTGAGGGAGGTCCTGAGGGACCCCACAGAAAGTGTCCCCAAAATTAGGATGCTGTACACATAGCATGGCATAGTGTAAACGGGTGGATTACTTTTCACAAGTAACCTCCTTCAGTTACTAGACGGTAATTCCTACAAAGGTTTGAGATTGCCAAGGACTTCCAGAACAAAACCAGCTACACAAAATGGCTTCATGGTTGAGTCATGAAGAGTGTATGTGCTCTTTCCCCAAAGAATATTATTTTAAGAGAAGCTTGGGAAACATGAATTAGGACAGTGGAGACGTCCCTCTTTTGGAAGGCAGCACTTACAGAGTCAGCAGTGCTCAAGGTAAAATGCAGAGTCACGCCTGCGGAAAAAAGAGAGAGCACTCTCCTGAGCAAACAGGATTCGGATCCATGTTCCCCATTGCAAACAGGCTTGTGTTTCAAGTAGCTGAGCTGCCACCATGACGTTGCCCCACATGGCCAAGTAGCCGGCCTAAACATCATTTCAGAAGGGAGTCCCACACAATAGCCACCATCTTGCTCCCATCTCAGCTTAAGAGGAGACACATCATGGTCCTCTTTGCTTGGAGCCCGGAAAGTGGTGCATGTGACAGCCAATGAGCATGGCCTCTGCACGTCATGTGAACATCTACACTGAGTGGCCAGATGATGATGACCTCTGAACGCATAATAATCTGGCCACTCAGTGTATATCCTATATGATAAAAGGCTAATATGCAAACCATCCCCTTGACCAGGAGTTCGGCGAGCAGGCAGGCTGGCCAACAACCCATGTCCCCTCCCCCTGGCCAGGCTGGCAGGACCCCACCCATGCACAAATTCATGCACTGGGCCACTAATATATATATATAGGGGACATGGGCAGTTGGCCGGCCTGCCTGCTCACTGAACTCCTGGGCGAGGTGACAGTTTGCATATTTGCATACCGAGTGGCCAGATCATTATGTGTTGGAGATCATCATAATCTGGCCATTCAGTGCATGTGTTCAATGTTCGTTTTCTTACTGAAACCACACATTCGTGCTGGGGAACATCGGTGTCATTTTAAGGAACCACATCTGCTGTAGCTTGTGTGGAAATCGGTTCTTTTAGAAAACAGCCTTCCCTGCTGTTTCACATGATGCCGTGTCCCAGCTCCCAGGGCAGTTGCGGGCACCGTCCGTGATTTCTGTAAAGTTATCTGTGAATCTTTAAAGTCTGAGATGGAATGTGAGTGGCTTCCAGCTGCGGGGGGCGCTCCCCTTGGTGGCTTCTGTGTAACCTCTGGCCTTCCCTATGACTCGCAGGTATTGATAATGAGTGGAGAAAGACTCAATGCATGCCACGTGAGGTGTGTGTAGATGTGGGGAAGGAGTTTGGAGCAGCCACAAACACCTTCTTTAAACCTCCATGTGTGTCCGTCTACAGATGTGGGGGCTGCTGCAACAGCGAGGGGCTTCAGTGCATGAACACCAGCACGGGCTACCTCAGCAAGACGGTAGGTGTCCCCCGGCTCTGCCACCTGCATCCCCTCCCCTCCGCCTCCCCCGTAAAGCAGCCTGGTGCGATGCAGAGCGGCCTGTCTGTTCTCGGGGGAATAACGCTAAGCTCTTAGTGTGTTGTGGTTTTGATGGAAATTTCACAAAGTAAGTGATGTTTTATGAACCCATGCAGCGGGACCAAAAGCAAGTGAAGAAAATAAATGTATATATGAATGTATGTGCACACACACTCCTGTACACACACATGCGCACTTGCACACACATACACGTGTGCACACACAGGCATGCACACATACATACAAAGTTCATCTTTGAGGATAAAATTTTCATTTGACAAGGAGCTACGTTTCAATCCTTTAGTAAGTGTTGAAACTAAAAACCGTTTCTATCAAGTAGAAATATTTATGCCAGTAGGATAGTCTCCAAAAAAGTTACTAAAAAAAAAGGTAGTAATATTAAAATTTTGCTGGTTTTATATCCAGCCAAACTCAATAAAAGCATTTTTGGCCTTCTGAGACATTTGGGGGGGGGAAATCATTCTTTTACAAAGAAAAGAAATATGGGTGGTGTAGGAATTAAAATAAGTTTGTGGAATACATTTACTAGTGTATATTTTTAATTAATTCAGTTGAGCAATAAGATATGTGTCCTAGATTATACTGTTTATTATAATGATGTTTTGTTTAAATCAAATAGCACTTTGGTGGATCTTTCAAAGGTATTGACATCCTAATTGCATTTTCCAAATACCAAAGGGTATGTTTCTTTTAGAAATGGAATGACCTGGATAGACCCAATGATGAATTTTGAATATTTGTTTAATCAAATCTGTCTGTTCAGTGCTCATTAATCATCATTTTATAAAGGACTTGTTAGATTTAATTGTGAGATGAAATTTTACTTTCAAAGTACTCATATTTTAAAGATGTAGAATTGAATAATAACCAACTCTTCAGGAACATTGCATTGAGGTGGTGCATTGATGAGCTGCTCTTTTCTGATTGGATGGCTCAGGCTAGCATCAGTTCTGATTGGCTGGTGCAAACATTCTATGTTGTTAAATATTTTGAATGGCACTCACTCTTCTGAAGGTTAAGTCCTTAAACATGGTTTACTGGAACCTTGATGATCTGGCTGCTACCGAAATCTGTAGGCTCCATTGTCACTGCCTTTTCCCTCAAAGACTCCTTTCCACCAGCACCCAAGTTCTTGGATTCCTTAAATCATATCAGTACCTCTTACCTCTAAGTCATTTCAGCACTGTGCCCTGTGTTCGAACATGCCTCCTCATACTACTCTCATATCACTCCCATATCACTCTTACCTAGCTGATTGCTCCTCATCCTGAGACCTAAGCATAAATGTCACTCCAAGGCCTGTGACAGCATCATTTTTGCCCGTATTTTAGCATCGTTACCTTACCTATCTCTCAGGTGGTTTATTCCTTAGGCCAGTGGCCGGCAAACTCATTAGTCAACAGGACTGCAAACGACATGTGGCTCATGAGCCTGTTTGCTGACCACTGCCTAGGCTCTCAACTCCATGAAAGCAAAGCTGTGTTTGGCTCTTACCCCGGGCAAAGTGCAATCATTGGCACATAGTAAACACTTGGCACTAAATGGAATGAATACCTATATAGAAGGGGACAGATTTAGGGTCAAAGTGAGAGTCTTGAGCATGCTGATTTTGATGAATCTGAGTGGCATTTAGGTGGAGACATCAGGAAAAGACTGGGCATGTCATTCTAGAATTCTCTGGCAGTGACTGGATCGTCAGCTGCAAATTTGGGAGGAAACGTCTTATTGATAGACATTATTGAAAGCCCTGGTGTAGTTGGTACTAAGTGAATTCCTGGACCAGGAGAGAAGCAGGAAAGCCAGTATTCGCCATTGACGGCCCATCACTTCTCCCTTTGACTTTGTAATGTCCTGCGCTTCTCCTGCCTGAAGAATCCCTCAGTTTCATTATAAAGAAAGGGGTTGTTTTATTTTGGACTCAGATGAGCAGATGTGGTGCAGCACCCATGAGGTGTGGACTTGCACTAAAGGAGCTTATAGTTTAGCAGGAAAATCAACAGTTACCAAGTGGTGGAAAGTAGGCTTGGTGTTGGAAAGGGAAATGCAGTGGTTTGTGCCAATGCTTATCCAGGAGGTTTACAGGCAGCAAGGGAGCCAGGCATGGAGCCCTGAGGGCAGTGTGTTCATCTGCATTTCTCCTGAGATTGCAGCTTGTAAAAGCTTGTACTCAAGTCACACCTTCCCCTGAGTTTGTTTTGCTATTTTCAATGTCCTGTAACTGGGAGCATGTGATGACTTCTTTCCAGCATAAAAGCCAGTGTCTCTCTGCCCTAATTTCTGAAGGAGGGGGCGGGGGGAGAAGAGGTTTTGTTTTGTTAAAGGAGTTCCACACACATCATTTAGCAATCAAAGTCACCCATTGGAATCCTATAAATTGTGAAGACAACGTACTGTAAGCCATGTAAAACCCACGTGCTTTGTGGCAACTTCACAGAAATTCTTTTATGGGGCTGGGCACAGGCATGTTATCAGGATGTGTGCGGAGCCTGGTCCGCTGCAAAGTCAAACCACATGCAGGACACGTTCCAGGGACCCAATCCTCTGCAGCCGCCCAGACCTCCCCGCTCAGGCCTGCGGGCCTTGGGACACGGCAGTGGTTGGGATGGGTGTTTGACCTCTTTCATAAACATACCCTTTCAGTGGGTTGTCTTATGAGAGGCTGTGCATTTAAGAGATATAACCAAGAAGCAGAAAGTGGATTTTGCAAAGTGTCAATCATTTGATGGCTGAAGTAGCAGTAAAAGAAAGCCGTCTGCTTTCGAGCCAAACATTTGGATTAAAAAGTTCGTTAAATGCTGGTATTTACCTTACATATTTTCCCTGAAGATGACACTGGGAGAGAACTTCTTTGCCTCGTTCATTAGTGTCCATGGAGGAGGCAGCTCCATTGGGAGCCAGGTCTCCCGCTCCTTCTGAACGACTCCAACAGTGTCTGTTCAGATTCTGCGTTGCCATCTTCTAAAGAAATGGCTGGTCTTTCCTCTAATTATGTGATAGAGAAATAATAAAAGCAAATGTGTTAACAAAAGCATTCCAGGTTATATTTGAGTTACCCTGGGTACTCCATAAAATGCTCTTTTGCCGCGATATTTTTTTAAACCCAATAAAAATGTGCAACTCTGGAATGAGACTCCTAGGTGCTCATTTGTGCTGCAAACAGAAGTAATTCTTCCATCAATGAGGCAGAACTCTGTGGCAGCCTGAAAAATTAGTTTACTGCATTCATCTGTACACACTGAGTGCAACGTGATTTGTTTTGAATTTTTAGCTAATTCGTCTTTGGCACATACAGTTGTTGCAAATCAGGTTTTATCCAGATGTGGAGAAAGAACTCTCCACCTACACCAATACCAGTTACCAGACATCTCTTTAGGAATAGCATTGCCCAAAGGAAAAAAAAATTAATGCATCTATTAAAAGCCCATTATTTTTTCAGTTCAAGGTACCAATCATGTCCCAATCTCCTGGGTGGGTTTTTGTGATCATGGTAGCACTGTGCATACTTTGCATGTATAACAGTATGTTGAAATGAATGCAGAGCCATGTGTTGCTCTGTTGGGATCTGCTATCCCATGTTCTCTTCAAACTCAACTGAAGGTCCATAGGCCCTAATTGCTTATGTGGTCGGTATGCTCAGTGGAAGTGCTTGGAAAAAGCCCTTACTTTTCACCTTCTTCCGTTTGTAGGGATTACTTCTTTACATGGCATAGAGTGTTTTCCTCTGACTTGACAGTTATTAGTTCTATTCTTCAGGGGCTGCCGATGTTTCCATAATTAATGGGCTACGGTGGGAATGTTTGCTTTAGATATGGCAGTGAGATATTCTGTTCTGGAGGGAAACTGGCTCTCCTGGTGGTGTAAAGAGGTCGCAGAGGAAGGCATTTTTCTGTTTCCTACTTGTGCACACACAGGCCTTCCTTTAGACATTGGCTAATCCAGGACTTTTTCAGCAAGGAAGTTCTACACCTTATTCTTGAATAGCTGGCCAGATAAGTAGGGTTAGGAACTGTTGCTGTACAACGGTTGCTATGCTGGGTAAACAAGCTATTGTTTCAAAAAGTGGCTTGAAATGAAGTTCATTCTTGTTGGTGAGAATTGACTATTAAATTTTCTTATTAAAACATTCCAGTTGATAGCAATGGGGAGCCTCTCAGTTGGAAATGATGGCCACTTCCCTTTTTATTGCAACTTTACAGGACATACTATTGTATTTCACCCCAATTTCCAGCCTTGTTTAAATGACCTCTGGATGTAAGTTCTTTTGATCTTCTTTAAAATGAGCAACTCTTTCAACAGGCGTATACCGATAGGTGACTTTCATTAGTACTGGGACCCTAAGTTAATTACAAGTTTGTATCTTACTGTTCAAAAGCAATTCACTTTGTAGCATGAAACTGCCTTAAGAAAATCATCATGCTCAAAATATCAAATTATGATTGTCACCATTATCCATCAGTATTGACTAAGTACCCATATATACGTAGAATTATTAGCTAATGCTGAACCTAATGCATGAATCTTGCATTCTATGAGCATAAATCTAAAATAGAAAACACCACAGTATACACATTTGAAGCACAAAATAGTCTGACAATAGTATAAGGATTCTTCTTTTATTAAAATATAAAGAATCCATTATTGCCTCAAACACTCTGATGTATGGCTAGAACAGACTCTTTTAAGAGAAAATTATAGTTTCTGCATTGATTCAGGTCTTCATATATGACCAACACATATTTCCATAAGACAGGTAAACTTATGTTCTTGCTCACTAACAGCGTTCGTGGTAAACTAGTTGATATTTTGATAATTCTAACATAGAATCATAATATATAGAAAGTTTTCTCTAGTTCTCTCCCGTTGTTTGTCTGGCTTCTTAAGAATGGCATGGAGGCAAGACTCATGGATTGATAGCTAGACCGTCCAGCAAGGCACCTGGTGCTTGGCATCTTCTAGGTTCTCAGTAAACAGTTATTGAGCCCTAACCAGTTTTGCTCAGTGGATAGAGCACCGGCCTATGGACTGAAGGGTCCCAGGTTCGATTGGTCAAAGGCATGTAACTTGGTTGTGGGCATATCCCCAGTAGGAGGAAGTGTGCAGGAAGCAGCTGATGGATGTTTCTCTCTCATTGATATTTCTAATTCTCTATCCCTCTCCCTTCCTCTCTGTAAAAATATCAATAAAATATATTTTAAAAATAAACAGTTATTGAAAACTAAACAAGGAATGATTTTAAACAGAAACTTAATCATTTGTAATCCCTCTACCAAAGATTCAACTCAATCTTGAAGACGAATGGGGAGGATGAGGGGAAATCAAACGGCCCAACAATGAAATCACCACCCAATGATCCCTATTTTAGATAGAAATGGAGGCTCAGGGCCGTTGGGCAGCTTTTCCAAGGCCCAGGAATACCAAACTGCAAATTCGGGGCTCTGTCTACCATCTGCCTGTCCTTGAGATGATGCTCTTGGTTGTTCATACATCTCTAGTGGGGAAGAGAAGCTGCCAGATATTTAAAAATACACTGATTTATTTCATGAGTTTATTTATTAAACTCATTTATTGTGAGTTTATAATGTGATTCTAATTAATATTTTTTGTTCAAAAAAGTTTACATTTTTAAGTACATATTATCTGACCCAGGAAAAAGGCACATGGACATTCTTAGTAACGAAGGGATTAAATAGAACTATATGAAATTCACAATTTGTTCTGTAAAGAGAACAAGTTACTGTACTTATTAGAAGTGTAATAGAAATATTTAATCACTTTAAATGGGAAAATGTCAATCAATGAATGCACCTGAAGAATAATGGGGAATAACATTGGAGGAGGGAAATGGCCCCTTCTCTGTACAAAGTTAGCAGAGGACAAATAAGCTAACTCACCCGCAGCACACTCTTAGGTGTTCCCCATTTTTCTGAAAGTGATAAATGAATAAAACTCAATTTTTCTACTTTTTATGTTGGTTAGAGCCATCCTTCCCTGGCTCCTTACATGTTTCCCATACCGAGACACTCTAGAAGGGAGTGGAACTACCTGAGAAACTCAGGTCAAAATTTGAAGGTAGAAGAAGTGTTTCAAGGACATATATTTTTTTAACTTTAATTTTTTACCTATTTATTCCTTTTGATTAAATTGCTTATTCCAGGTGGCCAATTGCCTACTTAGACTCAAACAAGAGGAATGAAACATCAATAGCTACAATTTTTTTCTGTTGTTTAATTAGCTAAACTCGTGGTCGGCAAACTGCGGCTTATGAGCCACATGCAGCTCTTTGGCCCCTTGAGTGTGGCTCTTCCACAAAATACCACGACCTGGGCGAGTCTATTTTCAAGAAGTGGCATTAGAAGAAGTTTACGTTTAAAAAATTTGGCTCTCCAAAGAAATTTCAGTCGTTGTACTGTTGATATTTGGCTCCATTGACTAATGAGTTTGCCAACCTGAGCTAAACTATAAGTAGATTTTTCTCCCAATCTATCCTGTAATTTGAAGGCATAAGATTTCTTCAAGTTTAAGAAAAAAACAAACTTCTCTAAACAGTGATTTTTTTTAATGCCTCCTTACCTGTCCCTTTTTCCTCTTAGTAGAGGGTCTGCTAACACAGGCCTCCTTTACTCTGAAAGTGTAGAGCCAGTTTTGTTTTTCCTGAAGATGCTTTCTTCCTGGACATTTAACTGACCTTCATCTCTCTGGAACATTCCTCACTGCCCCAGTTCCTGAATACACACATGTGGTACCTTTGGACGGGTCCTGACTGTGGTCATTATCCACTGGGAGAGGCTGAAGTGGCTTGAGATCATGGGTAACGGTCCCTGGGATCTTTCTTGGGGAGGCACATGGGGTGGCGTCTGGAATGGCCACCACCTCTGAGAGCAGGAAGCATGCCCCTGAGGTCCAGGGGTGGGAAACATCCTAAACTCTTCTACACAGCCCTATCCCAGACTGGGTCTGAGCCTTCCCTCTAACAAGTGCCTTGTGTCACTCAAGACAATGACAGATCCTGCGAGGATTACATACACTCTGTCAGGGCAAGTGTCCCCTGTTGCCAGAGCCATCTGAGCCCCTTCCCTCCAGTCCTGTGGGGCCTCTCTTGTCTCTCCATCCTGGCCACTGCTCCTGACCTCACACCCCGGCTCTGCCATGCCCTTCGAGCCACTCTGGTGCCCAGCTGTCCCCGCTCTCGCCTGACGAATATAATTTCCCAGAGACACTGGAGCCTGTGACCACACACGGCCCTTTGAAGCCCTCCTCTCATTCTGTGCCTTCCCTGGACTTAGAAATACCCGTCTGGTTTTCTACCTGTCACCCTTTTCCCCAGTGCACCTGCCTTTGTCCACCCTGAAATGCTCCTGCCCAGCTTTCTGTGGTTAGACATTCTTGGATCTCATCAGGTCATCTTATCGATGCCCAGACATCAGTTCCAATGTTAATGTGGATGATTTTCTAATGGCTCTCCTAAGCTCCAGGCACAAACACCTATCCACCTGCTAGATGTAAAATCTAGGCCTTTGTGAGCTGAGCTGCACACCTCTCAAGTCATTTATAAAAATTAAATAGGCACCATGTTAAAATGGTTTAGTTTCTCAGCCACTTCATGTTGCCTTTGTCACTCTGGTCATTAATGTAGGGTCTGCAGGTGTCATGCAAGTAGAAAAACAGTAACATTGATACACACCACAGAATTAGCTTTCTTTAAATAGTTACACATAGCACAAAGGGTTCCTGCCAGTGTGAAGTGTCACCTAACCAAAGGTTCTGCCCAACTGCACGAACCAATGTCTCTTAGAGAAGAAACTGGTCAAAACTGGAATGCTGGGATACGCGGAGGCCCTGAGTTGAAATTATCAATGGAGAATGGACAGTATTCTGGGGAACATCTAGGATCCTGAGAATATACGTAAATAATTAAACACCCACATCCATAACCTATATAGCACTCCATATATAAAGCACATTCGTGCTTCAACCTATATCATTTTATAACAGTCTCATAAAGTAATGGGTCAATATATTATCTTCATGTTACTAGTTTTTAAAGAAACAAAAAGCTTTGAAAAGTTAGATGGCATTCCCAAGTCCACACAACTTACAAGCGCGGTCGCTATAAAAGTGTCCTGCCTGGGTGTGACCTTGTGCCCATTCCTCCAGGGGCACTCATGCTAAGAAAACAGATGCCATGGAAATGAATGCATTTCAAGTGAAGAAAACATGCATTTTATAATGGAGATATTTCTGCATTTCACTCTTCCAAGCTCGCTTTTTTTTTAATATATTTTATTGGTTTTATACAGAGAGGAAGGGAGAGAGAGAGTTAGAAACATCGATGAGAGAGAGTCATCGATCAGCTGCCTCTTGCACACCCCCTACTGGGGATATGCCCACAACCAAGGTACATGCCCTTGACCAGAATCGAACCCGGGACCCTTCAGTCCCCAAGCCGATGCTCTATCCACTGAGCCAAACCGGTCCCGGCCCAAGCTCACTTTAATGCATCTCTCCGTAGTATGAGCAACAGGGCAACTAACTCTGCTCCCTCACCCTTCTCAGTGATCTTCAGCTGTTGGTATGAACTTGCAGGGCGACGCCAGATCACTTGGCTCTGGAGTATGTCATGTCCTTCTCGCTGTCCAGATTGCCATAAAAGTCTCACATACACGTGGTTCCCTGCAGTTGAGTCACTGCATGCTGATCTTATCGAGCAGGCAATGGGCAGGATTTTACGCTGCCATTGGTACTGAAGATCCTTTAGCTTCTGAGAGCCTGAGGAATTTAAATCCACTGGGCTTCACGAAATGTTTCAAAGCACTGATTTGGTAGAAGAAAGAGAACTTGAGTTCTCCACAAACATGGCATGCTGAAGGAGACTTTAGTCAAGTTAAATGTTGAAACTTCAACCCACAGTCACGTAAAATGCCCTACCTTTCTCTAAGATTAATTTTTTTCCTAATACCTTTGTCAAAACAGCAGAAACAGAGCGTTAGGTGTTAAATCATGAAAGTGTGTTTTTTTTTCTTTTAAACATAATACATTTATAAGAGATCTCAATACATGTACAACTACCCTGAGGTAGAAATTTGATTTGGAATGAAAACCAGCTTTTCATCTACGTGTTCTCTGTCTATGTATTCAGTTTATATACAGTAGGACTCAGCCGAACGTTTTGAGGTGGCCAATAGCTTTGCTCTTACATCACAATGAAATGGACATTGGTGCCCCTTTCTTACCCCTTAAAACAATCTAGGTCTCTCCAGCCAGTACGGCTCAGTGGTTGAGCATCATTGACCCATGAACCAGGAGGTCATGGTTTGATTCTTGCTCAGGGCACATGCCCTTTCCCTTTATCTCTGGAATCAATCAATATATATATATAATAATTTAGATCTCTGAAATAGTTCTTTTCCTTGAGCACATTGGTCTATGACATCTCCACTCTATAATCATTAGTTGATGATCAAAATCCTAATACGCTTTGAAACAGTGACATGTGGTAAGCATAGGGCCTATTGATTAATTGATCAAGGATATGGATGTTATGCAGCACTCTATCTGTTCATGAAGAGTTCATCTCACTCTTTGTGGACTCCAACATTTGCCATGCCATGCTGTCCGGCATCTATATAATCATTTCTCTTTTTGTCCCTTCTTTGTAGTTGTTTGAAATTACAGTGCCTCTCTCTCAAGGCCCCAAACCAGTCACGGTCAGTTTTGCTAATCACACTTCCTGCCGGTGCATGTCCAAGCTGGATGTTTACAGACAAGTCCACTCGATTATTAGACGCTCCCTGCCAGTAATGCTGCCACAGTGAGTATGAATCAAGTTTTCCTTCTCTGCGTCCTCTCCTCAGGGGAAATTGTGTTCGAGTAACTAGCGTACTAAAAGCCATTTTGTGCAATCTTCTATAGTATTCTTTGCATTGAAATACAAAGGAAGGCAAATGTAATAGGGCACCTGGAAAACGAAATTAAGCTGAAACAGGGAAGCCCACTTGTTAGACACAGCAGCTCACAAAACCAAAGAAGTGTTTCTGTGGAATCACACACCTCCCGCTCATATCCAACGGGCAGAAATGTAGATCCAGAACTCATAAAGTTAGGAGTGCCACCTCACAAAGGATGTTCACGCTAAAACATTTAAGTCTTAATGAGATTTTGGTCCAAAACAAACAAACACAAAATAAATGATCTTATATCTATTAGCTAGGTATGTGGCATAACGGAGAGAAGATGCACTGATGATATTTCAAAAGCTGGGGAGGCGGGTTTGAGAAGAGTTTAGTGTTTATGTGTGTAGTTTGAATATTTGCAATATCTGAAGAAATTAAAGCGATCGTTCAGCAGGCAGCTGGATGGGGGTGGGGGGAGGGAGAGGGGGATAGCTACCAGCATGTTATTGCTGGTGAGAGCAATTGGAAGAGCTGAACCCAACTAAGAAAAATACAGAATGTAAGCAGAGAAAATAAAACCATGAGAACATCAATATTTAGAAACTGTTGGAGAAGCAGTGGTCTATGCAGGAGGCTGAGAAAGAGAAGGGATGAACACTGAAAGAGGAAAGATATTACAAAATTCAAATGATCTTACAAAAGCCAGCAGAGTTCAAGGACAGAGAAGTGGTGAGAGGATCAACTGTTAGGAAAAGCCCGAGAATGGCAGGGACTGACTCATTAGCTGAAGGACATGGAGCGAAGATCACCTTGTCATTTACTGATACTCTGGCACATAGAAGGAGGGTGTCTGAGAAAGGAGGAGAGACAACGAGGGAGGAGAGACTGATTCTCAACTGGATCTGAAAATCGGAATCACCATGTTCAGTAACTTTCCCCAACATCACACCTGACAAGGAGCTCTTCAGAGATGCAGAACAGGGTTGGAGTCGGTTCATTCCTTTGGGTTTGCAGTCTCGGCTGCATTTTTAACTTATTTAAATTTAAAAATTCAAACACTTATTACAGGACAGCAGAAACAAAAATGACCTATTCCTCCACCCCAATCCAACATTTAACAAACATATCTTTGCTATTGACTTACGATATAACCCACAGGCCCACATCACCATTCCTTGTCCCCACGCCCAGGAAATCCCTCCTCTGAAACTGTTGTTGCCACTCGTGCTTTTCTGTTTTTATGGCAGAGGGGTGAGTTGATGCGCCACAAGAGGTTACACGGTACAGCTCTGAGTGTGTAACATTTTTTGTTAAAATGGTGACATTACCTTTTTTCTCTCAGCGATGGTTTTATGGACTTAACCTTACTGATGTCTGCGGGCCTAGGCCTAGTGTGTTCCTGGGTGGGAAAGGGAAGTCAGTATATTTCCCTATGATTCTCAGCATAGACCTTCTTTCCCAGTGATTGCAAACTAATTTGTAAACATGTTGATATGTTCACCCATTAATATTTATAACTTGCAGTTTCAATAGAACTAAAATGCTCTGGAGATGAAGATAAATGAGATATGATGGTGTTAAACCTGTCCACCATGAAATCATTGCCTTTTCTTCTAAAATGACAGTATTTTTGGGAATTGTGTCTCTAATTATTTTCCCATGAGAAGCTTTATATGCTAAGCAGTTGCTACTCACTTTTAGATAACCTAGGAAATTATAAAATTATAAAAATGTATTTCACCCAAATGTGTGTTTCTTTCATTAAGTCGTATGTAGCAGAATTTCAAGTTTCAACTTGGAAATATGTGTTCGCATTGATAAGTAGTAGTTTTTTTTATTTTTAGTAGCTTCAGAAGTCATATTGTCCCAGAAATTTAAATTTTAAGAGTATTAGAAATTAAAATATTTACTTCACTTTGAGCAAACCATAATTAGTAATATAAAGTTTAAGTGGGCACAGTGTTTGAGATAGAACATAACTGAGTGTTATTCTGAAGGCTGTATATTTATTCAACATAAATGCACAAAAACTGAAGGGTTAATGAAGCCAGATCATATGAAATCTCTATTTAATTCTGTCAGACTTGATTCCTTGCTTTGTATGACATTCCCAGAAACATATTTCTACAGTTATGCCTACATTTGTTTCTACACTCAGTCCATACTTTCGAGTTTCTATTTTGTAAGATGTTGGAATATTATAGAGAAAACTATGTTTTCCCTACTATATGCTAGGTAATTGTTTTTTTGTTTTTGTACCCACTTGGGGTGAACAGTTGTGTATCCGTTTTTAAACCTAAGCACAGACACAGTAACACATTTGCCTGCAGCTGGCAATCTCGTCATTTACTAGACTCTCTTGGGGTAGTGATCTGGCTTATTCTGACACCTCTTGGTGTCACTTAAATAGCGTAGGTAGGTATTTTGTCACTTGTCCAACTGTGACTAAAAACAAATATAGTTGACATTGCAACCACAGACATGCATACACACACACACACACACACACATACCACACACATGGGAGAAGGGAAGTTGTGTGTGTGAGAGGTTGTATATTAATATTCACACATATATATTTGTATATGTGCATTACTTACATTAATATATATATAATTGAAATACAATTGCTGAAAACAATATCACATGCACTCTATTCATTTCTATTTTATTACATGCCATTCTTTTACATTAAAAAATGCATTTCCCCAAGTCATATGGTTAATTTTATGACCCACGACCGGCTTACAATTACCAGCTGGGAACATGGTGGCTGAGGTCATGGCAGCTTCAGGCACACGTTGGCAAGTTCTAGCTGCGACCCCACAGCACTGTGCCAACATGGGATGTGCCACTTAAACCCGTCAACACTGAGGCAACATGGCCATCATAGATTGATTTGCACTTACAGAAGAGTGATCTGAGCTTGGTTCAACCAGAATTAATTGCGTTGCTGTTATATAAACATAACTGCTGTCTTATCTGATGGAGGAACACTCAAGTTTTTAATAAAGAGATAAATAAAAACAACAACGAGCCGAAACCGGTTTGGCTCAGTGGATAGAGCGTCAGCCTGCAGACTGAAAGGTCCCAGGTTTGATTCCGGTCAAGGGCATGTACCTTGGTTTTGCAGCTGATCAGTGATTCTCTTTCATCGATGTTTCTAACTCTCTATCTCTCTCTCTTCCTCTCTGTAAAAAAATCAATAAAATATATTTTTAAAAAGACACAATGATACTGTTTGAGAAAATGGATAAGCACTGTCTAACTTTTATGTGCATCAATATATGCTTGTGATTAGCTTACAAAATAGCAACAAAAATACATAATGAGCAGAGACTTGCTCTCGGGAATACCTGAAACCATTATGAAGGTGTAACATTCTCCAGGAAGCAGTGTTAAGTGAAAAATCAAGGTTTGGAATTCACGGGAAGATATCATCTGTGTAAGAGAATGAGATAAAATATAAGCATACATGCATATATATATACATACATGTATACACAGCTACCTACTTCCTTCCTTTTATTTGCAAAAGGAAACTCCAAAGTCATAAAAGCTAAGAACTTCCTGCTGGTTAACTTTCAGTAAAACAAATAAGATGGAAGGAGGGGAGAGAGGACGAACACCACAAAACCCACGGTTGTGGCTGCCTTTGTGGTGGGGAGTAGAGTGGAATTTTGCACGAATGGACCTTGACGGTGTGGGCATCGGTGCTTCTGGAAGCAGTCAGCCAGGCCCGGGCAACAGAATGCTTCCTGGGGACTTGATGGCAAAGGCCAAGACGGCAGCCACTCCCATGGCTATCCACGGGGGACCAATAAAATCAATAATAATAATCTTTACATGGACCCTGTGTAGCCTCCACAGACAAAAGAGCAGAATGTCACAGCCTGCCTGCAGAGGGGTGCTGTTTAGTGGAAGGGCCATTTGGAGGAAGAGGCTTTGTCCCATGTTTGCACACGTGAGAGCGCTATGCGATGGCACAGACCAGGGTATTGCCTTAAAGAGGTGGAAGCCTGGAGGGAGTCAAACCCGGCCCCTCACTGTGGTCCCCTCCGGGGCGGGGCTGCCACAGCCCCTGCGGGTGGGGGCGGTGTGGAAGGCATGTCCACATGTCATTCCCTATGCCCTGGCATCCCTGTGGAGCGCTCTTACACGCATGCGTTGACGGGATGCTTATGCTAGGAAAGCGATGGCCCTGTCTTCGTGCCCGTGATGCTAACGCCGCCCGGTCTGTCTCCCCCAGGTGCCAGGCTGACAACCAGACCTGCCCCGCCAACCACACGTGGAGCAGCCACGTCTGCAGGTGCCTGGCTCCGCACGACTTCATGTTCGCCGCCCAAGCGGGAGACGGTAAGGGCGCGGTGGCTGGTGACTGGGTGCCAGCTCTGTGTGGTAGGCACACACTTTCCCATCAGACCCACACGCACCAGGCTCGGGTCCTGAGAGCCCGCACCAGCTCACTAACGATGGGCCCTCGCTTGCCTCCCATTGGGGTTGCACTGACCGCTCCTACACAGGAACACACATGTCTGTGCCTGACCGCTCCTAACTCAGGAACACCCATGTCTGTGCCTGACCGCTCCTAACTCGGGAACACCCATGTCTTGCCCTGACCGCTCCTACATGGGAACACCCATGTCTATGCACTGACCTCTCCCACACAGGAACACCCATGTCTGTGCCTGACTGCTCCTCCACAGGAACACCCATGTCTGTGCCTGACCGCTCCTACACAGGAACACCCATGTCTGTGCCTGACCGCTTCTACACAGGAACACCCATGTCTGTGCACTGACCTGTCCCACACAGGAACACCTATGTCTGTGCCTAACCGCTCCTCCACAGGAATACCCATGTCTGTGCCTGACCGCTTCTCCACAGGAACACCCATGTCTGTGCACTGACCTGTCCCACACAGGAACACCCATGTCTGTGCCTGACCGCTCCTAAACAGGAACACCCATGTCTGTGCCCTGACCCCTCCTACACGGGAACACCCATGTCTGTGCCCTGACGGCTCCTACACGGGAACACCCATGTCTGTGCCTGACCGCTCCTCCACAGGAACACCCATGTCTGTGCCTGACCGCTCCTAAACAGGAACACCCATGTCTGTGCCCTGACCCCTCCTACACGGGAACACCCATGTCTGTGCCCTGACGGCTCCTACACGGGAACACCCATGCCTGTGCCTGACCGCTTCTACACAGGAACATCCATGTCTGTGCCTGACCACTTTTACATGGAAACACCCATGTCTGTGTCCTAACCACTTCTACATGGGAACACCCATGTCTGTGCACTGACCTCTCCCACACAGGAACACCCATGTCTGTGCCCTGACCCCTCCTACACGGGAACACCCATGCCTCTGCACTGACCTCTCCCACACAGGAACACCCATGTCTGTGCACTGGCCACTTCTACACAGGAACACCCATGTCCTGCCAGGGAGGATGCTTTACAGCTTCACTCCCCCAGCCAGAGGAGGTGCAGTGACCATGTCCCTCCCGCTTGTCTAGACGCGGCTGACGGCTTCCACGTCTGTGGCCCCAACAAGGAGCTGGACGAGGAGACGTGCCAGTGCGTGTGCAGAGGGGGGCTGCGGCCCGCCAGCTGCGGGCCGCACCGGGAGCTGGACAGGGACTCGTGCCAGTGCGTGTGCAGGAACAAGCTCTCGCCCGGCGCGTGCGGGCCCCACCGGGAGTTCGATGAGAGCACGTGCCAGTGCGTGTGCAGGAGGGCCTGCCCCAGGAGCCAGCCCCTCAACCCGGCCCGGTGCGCCTGCGAGTGCACAGAGAGCCCCCAGAAGTGCTTCCTCAAGGGGAAGAAGTTCCAGCCTCAGACGTGCAGGTGAGCAGTCCCCGTGAGCCATGGCTGTTCCTCTTCCTGAGAATGTTTTCTCCACTGCACGCAGTGTTCTCAGCACACACAGCAGCTGCGGTGGCTAGCGCGGGACCAGTACATTCTGGAAGAGTCGTTCTGGTGGTTTCCAACCAATGCCACACTTTCAAGGCCAGAAAGGAGGCCTGGGACTGCACACCAGATCCCAGTTCAGTGCACGGAGTCCTTGTCCCAGAAGCTGAGGTGGTGGCTCTCCACCAGAGCTGGACAGGTGCATAGGGCAGTTATTTTCCAGATGCAGCCAGGCCCTGGCTGGTGTCCTCAGTGGTTAGAGCATCGGCTGCTGCACCAAAGGGTCTTGGGTCTGATTCCCAGTCAAGGGCATGCACTTGGGTTGCAGGTTTAATCCCTGGCCTCCCAGGTGCATGTGTAGGAGACAACCCGTATATGTGTCTCTCTCACATCAATGTTTCTCCCTCCATCCTTCCCTCCCTTCCTCCCTCCATCTCTCACTACCTCCCTTCCACTCTCTTTAAAAATCAGTAGAAAAAATGTCCTCAGGTGAGGATTAAAAACAACAAAAAACATACAACCGGGCATGCACACCTGCCTCCACCACAATTATGATTCCATCAGATGTGACTTAAGACAACTGTTCTAAGTGCAGAAAATAGCATCTAAAACTTACAAAGGACAAGACATGGAGAATTACTGTAGAATTGTATCTAGGCATAAAAGTAGTGAAGCTAAGTGTTTAATGGAATTAGAGAAGTAAATTAATATGCTGTTAGAGGTTACTCAAGACTCCTTCCCTAAATCTGCTCCCTCTTCACAAAAAAAAAAAAAAAAGAAGAAGAAGCTTTTGGACCCGAATCTTGTCGGTGTGAGTTCTGAACATGGTCCTCTCTGTCCTGAGAATAACGTGGTCGGCTACTGAAGCCAGATTCGATGTTCGACATGTTCTCCCTGTTCCTTCAGCATTTCTTCACCCATCATGCCTCTCTCTTCCTGACCTTTACACCTGAACTCTGTTGTCCTTTCTGCTCAAGTTATAAAAGCTCCCAAATGCCTTCTATCTTCTCAGCGTGTCGTATGCAGAGATCATGTTAGCCACTGAGACCTGTCCTCCTTGCCAGAGATGCTTAAGGCTAGGTCTTCCCTATTTGGGTCCACCGCTTTCTTTTATTAAAACTTGAATTAGCCGAAGCCTGTTTGGCTCAGTGGTAGAGCATCAAGATTCAAGTTTGATTCCGGTCAAGGGCATGTACATTGGTTGTGGGCACATCCCCGGTAGGGGGTGTGTAAGAGGCAGCTGGTCGATATTTCTCTCTTCGACATTTCTAGCTCTCTGTCTCTCTCTCTTCCTCCTCTCTGTGAAATATCAATAAAATATTTTTTTAAAAAACTTGAATTATAACATTTATTGGTGTGATGTTGGTTAATAATATCATATAGGTTTCAAGTGTATAACATGTCACCTGTATATAGCATTGTGTGCTCATAACCCATCGTCTTGTCTCTTGCCATCGCTATATATTTTACCCACCCCCAACCCCCAGCCTCTCTAACCACACATCCACCTCTTTCATCTCTGGATTTTCTTTTTTTATTTTTTAATATATTTTTATTGATTTCAGAGAGGAAGGAAGACAGAGAGAGGGAAACATCAATGATGAGCTAGAATTATTAATCAGTTGCCTCCTGCATGCCCCACACCGGGGATCGAGCCTGCATCCCAGGCATGTGCCCTGACCGGGAATTGAACCGTGACCTCCTGGTTCATAGGTTGATGCTCAATCACTGAGCCACGCCGGCTGGGCCATCTCTGAATTTTCAACCAACTGATGGGGTTTGTGCCCTAGAATTCCACTAGAGGTTTCTGTGTAAGGTATCAGTACACTCTTGGGTGCCAGATGCACTGGACAGTTCGGTCTTTCTAGAAGCGGCCCTTCTTTAGCTTTCTTTAAGCTCTCTTCCTTCTTTGGCTGACATTACATTGCCCTTTCCTGGCATCTCTGAGTTTCAAACGTTTGCTCTTCATCATTTCAATGCTTCTCTTCTCCTCTTTCATCCACTCTTCCCAGACGGCACTGACGCCCTTTCAGGGATGGCTATGCACAGACTCAACGCTCTCATCCCATCTATTCACAGTTGCGTCTCAGCATTGATGTTCATCAATATCTCTTCCTCAGTAAATGCAGTGTCCATCTTTTTGTTCTCAAAGGCTCTGTGCTCTCATTTTCTGTTATATTTGAAGATCGATCTACACTAGCATTTTAGCTGCTACATAAGGGGATTCAGTGAATCTACAGATATAATTGATGACATATTTTTTCATTATTGTTTCAGAATATCATTCTGGAACCATTTTTTTCTCTTTAGAATATTTTAAGCTATAACTATATTGAAATATTACTTGCATATCTCTACTCAAGTTACCAGGGTATTTTAAAAATGAAGAATATAGATATCAAATCTTATGGAACCATTTTGTATAGCGAGTCTTCTAAGTGAACCTAATTAGTACGTATTGAAAAAGCTGAAATTTGTATGTTTATAAAGTCTAACCAGTAACCATATTTTTTCTCCAGAATTCTTATAAGTTAGAAGAGATTTATATCATTGTATTTCTCTTAATAGTATACATGCTTCACGAAGATTTTTATTTACTGAAACTCTTCCTATGTTCACTTTTCTAGGGGTGTAATTCCAGGTCTCATGTATATATTGAAGCAAAAAATAATAATTTATATTGTGAAAATATTTACATCCACTTTCTCTTAATATTTATTCCCAAAGTGTGGTGGGCAGCATATACATGCTTTGGTCCACTGCCTTATTCAGTAACTTGCATTGCTCGTTGAAAATCCTGTCTTTTTCAGTTAAAGAACAACAGTGGTCTTAGGAAATTGCATTTGTATTTAGAAGTTTAAGAACCACATTTTAACTGGATGTGCCTCCTTTGCTAAAGCACAAGAGGTGAAGCAATCGTGTCAGCATCGCATGTGGAGTGTTCTGCAGTGCATAGTGATTTCCATGGCAGGCCATTTGCATTCTTCCATGGACACCCATCCCCATTCCCACGTGTTAAGTAAACTCATATGCTAAAAAAACAACATCTTCAAAGACCTCTCTATTCCTCAGAGCAATAGCGTTCAGGATGGGATTAGTTGTTGGATCATTAATTTTTTCACCACTGCTGGAAACTGGAAGTTTAGGGGTGACAGAGAGGGCCCCCCCCCCCCAGGGAAACTGTCCCTCCCTTTGTACATGGAGCCAAGGTGGGGAGTGGGGACAAGGGGTGTGAGCTCCCACCATGCTGGCAGCTGCAGGTCCGGCAGATGGGAGTGAGGGTGGGGCTGCCCTGAGGACCACAGTCCTGCCTGCAGATGGTGGGGTTGGGTCCCTTCAAAGCCCTGGTTTCCTGAAAGCCTCATGCTGATGTGGTCACCCTGAATCAGCATTCCCAGAACAATCACTTCCAACACTTCTGCTTCATCTACAAAGCAGACAGCACTTCAAAACACCCTGCTGGCCATGTCCCATTTGTTACATCAGCACCGAGACACACTGATGCTGTGTGTTGGGGGGGAGGGGGTCCATTCCTCTCAAACTGTGCGATTGTAAGCACAAACTGACAATGTAAGGACCTCTAAACCTGATGTTATGACAAATAAGTAACTTCGTTCTCATTTAAAATTTAGAAAAACACAAAAGGTGTTTGTAGCATAACGGATTCCTCCCCTTGGTCTTTTATGTATTTATTTATTTCAAGTATTTTTTATTGTTGATAATATTACAGATATCTCCTATCCCCTCCTTTGCCCCCCTCCTCCTAGCTCCTACCTATGCCCCAGGTCTTCACCACCCTATTGCACATGCCCATGGCTATGCATATCCTATATAATAAAAGGCTAAGATGCAAATCGACTAAACGGCGGAATGACCGGTCACTATGATGCTCACTGACCAGAAGGGGGCAGATGCTCAACACAGGAGCTGCCTCCTGGTGGTCAGTGCACTGGCCCCGGGGGAGCACCGCTCAGCCAGAAGCCAGGCTCACGGCGAGTGCAGTGGTGATGGTGGGAGCCTCTCTCATCCCCATGGGAGTTCTAAGGATCTCCAGGGAGCGGGCCCAAGCCACCAGTCAGACATCCCCTGAGGGCTCCCGGACTGCGAGGGTGCAGGCCAGGCTGAGGAACCCCACTTGAGTGCATAAATCCCCCCTAACCCCACATCGAGGCATGTCCGTCTTCTGTTCCATGCCTCCCTGCTTAGGGTCTTACTTTGTTGCTCCATTCATTTTGCTCATTCCATTCCACAGCTGAGACCATGTGCTATTTGCCTTTCTCAGCTTGGCCTCTTTCACTCAGGATCACATTTCCCAGGCCCCCCCGTGCAGTGTTGTGCGCTGTGAACCGGAGGGCTCTCCCTCCTCGCATGGTCTGTAACCGGAGTGTGTGTCTTTCTGTCTGTCTCCCCAGCTGTTACCGACGGCCGTGCGCGAACCGGCTGCGGGCCTGCGAGCCGGGCCTGGCGTTCAGCGAGGAGGTGTGCCGCTGTGTGCCCGCGTACTGGAAGAGGCCGCACGGCAACTGAGCGGCAGCCCCCGGTACCCCGCTTCCCCCGTGGAGGACTGTGCTCCCCCTAAAGACTGTCTGCGGACAGCGTGTGGGGCCGCGGTGACAGGGACAGCGTCTGTGGGTGTTTCCCGGGCCATGCGGACAGTGTCACGGACACGGGCCCCAGCTCACCTGCAAAGACCTCTCAGAAACACTGGTTTTCCGGCAAGGACCGAGTAGCCGAGGTTTTCCTGTTGTGATTTAAAAAAAAAAAATGACTATATAATTTATTTCCACTAAAAATATTGTTTCTGCATCCATGTGTATAGCAATAACAATTGGTAAAGCTCACTGTGACCAATATTTTTATATCATGCAAAATACGTTTAAAATAAAACGAGAATTGTATTATAAACAGCTGAGCTCGGTCTATTTACCATCTTCCGCTGTAAGTAGGATTGGATATTATGGACCATTCACCCCCCTCAGCCCCCACCTCGTTCTTTTTCTCTAGCCAGATGGCCGACTGGGCTTGGGACAAAGCTGAGCCTACCAGAGAAACGTCCACACGGTAACAGTTCCTATTACATTTCAATTGATCTCAGCATTTTCACGATGATAAACATTTTAGCACGTGATGCTCTTGAATTTATAACCAAATGAATCCATAGAGAACATACCTTCTAGCAAAGCAGTCTGCCTAGCATGTCTATGTGATGGCGTTAGTCCGGGCACCAGGGCCCTTGGACCCCTAGCTCTGAGGGTGAGCTCTCTCTGCATCTGGTGAGTCATGGTTAGTGTGGATATATTTTTAAATACATTAATTGCTCAGCTAATGCAGGAAAAAAATAAGTTTTGATTGAGCCTCTGAGGCTCTGTAACTCGATACAACAGCTGTTGTAAGTTATCAGCTTAAGAGTCATCTGAACTATGTGTTGACAATTAGTTTCTCAGAAGATAGGGGGAAGCCAGCAAACCCCTGGGCCAAATATCAAAGCGCAAAGCGGGCCAAAGGAAAAGGCATTTCACTCGTCCCCGGAGATGTAACCATTTGGGCCAGAAGCAGAAGGAACATGGGCAGAGCCAAGACATTGCCGGTGGTGATCGGGCCGCGTTATATGGACCATCCAAACCTCACCTCCCTCCACTGTAACAACTGCTTTGTGTGGTGCCGGCTGGAGAGCAGGGCCGGAGAGAAAGCTGGACAATCAGCAAGGCTGCCTCAGCAGAGGCTGAAAGATTCTACACACGAGCCTCGAGCCCCCAGCCCCAGCCCGGGCGTCTGCAGGATGAAGACAGAAGGCACTGAGCACCGGGGACTACACCGGGGTCTTGGGAAGTCTGTCCACAGAACTGTGGCCCTGAAACCTCATGCTGTGTCCTTAGCTGGAAAGACTTGGGAATCCCAGTCTTAGAATTTCTAAAAATAGCTGTGCTCTCTGCATGCACACTGACTCCCCGCAGAGGGGGGGGGTGGGGGGGGTGGCAGCCACGGGATGGCACCACTGGCATTCCTGGGTGCGTCTCTCCAAGGGAGGCACAGGCCACGCTCTGGTCTGGCTGGGGAGGAGACCCTGCTCAGGAGGGCCAGTCCCAAGGGATGGGGGAGGACAGCAGAAACGCAGGTGGGCTGAGCTGGAGCCGCTGCTGGAGGGCATGGCCAGGGGTCATGGCCAGGGGTCACGACCCTCCCAGGTGAGGAAAGCCCGTGCCCATCCCCCACGGGTGCTACCCTTTTGCGCTTTCACTGGCAGATCTTTCAAGGGGCGCTGTGCAGGGACTTTGCCTTCTGAACTGGAGATGAGCATAGCGCATCACTTTGCTAGGGTGGAAGAGAGGCATTGGCGAGTCTGGTTTTTATGTGGATGAGTTCTGGAAAGTTCTGAATGAATCCGATTATTGTACCAATAAAAAAATGCCTTCAGCACACCCAGAACCCTGTTTGAGGAGGCCAGTGATGTTTGATAATGTAAACACTGGCTTTCTCTGGCCTTGACTTTTGTGTATGGGGTGTTTCTTAAATGGGAATATCTGTTCATTTGCATGAGTGGTTGGAGGGTTGAGGGTTTGGGAACCTGTAAACCAGAGCTTCTCGCTCGCTCTTCTCTTCACTCCGCAGTTCAGAGCAGTGCTTGGGAAGGCATGTGTGTCCACTCCCGGCCTGGGGTCCACTCCCAGCTTAGGGTCCACACCAGCTGAGAACAGAGGCAGGTGTGGAGGCAGCTGGGAGCTCACCCACCGGGCTGACCACGCATCAGGCTTGAAGAGACGTGACTGTCCACTCTGACACAGTAACTATCAATCCGATGGGAAGGATGGTGAAACACCGTTAAAAACCTCCTTTAAATTCACAAAGTGATGAGTAGCTGCATAAGAGCTTTCAAAATCGCCTCAATCAAACACTTAACTTTATGCACTCAAGGTGTTGACCTTCTAGAGGAAAGGAAGGACGTCACACTGATGCGTTGTTAAGGCTGTGACATTTTTCCTATCATTTTTAGGCAGCTGCACATTTTCTCAATCTGTTTAAAGTTTAATTTTGCTCTATTTCAATGAAAAGATTTCAATTAAGTGGGAGTTCTGTCTTGAGGATATCATTAGGAATCAGCTGGGTGGCTGACAGGGCCAGTCAGTGTGGAAAAACCCACCAAACCCTCCTCTTGGGCGTCAGTGTCAAATCTGTGAGGACTTGGCCTGGAGCCTTCCCAGAGCCCAAGTCATGTGCACAGCTGAGCCCTCTGCACGCCCACGCTCCTTTCTCTGACAGGCCCCACCACACCCTCAGGTGCTGCTGTTCTCTTTCCATCTCTTACAAATCTTGAACAATGACCTTTAACCTCTACTCTCTCCTATTCCCAATTCCCTGTCAACAATATTTGTGCTGCCCTCGTCGGTTTGGCTCAGTGGATAGAGTGTCGGCCTGTGGACTGGGGGGTACCGGGTTGGATTCTGGCCAAGGGCACGTGCCCAGGTTGCTGGTTCAATCCCCAATGGGAGTTGTGCAGGAGGCAGCCAATCGATGATTCTCTCTCATCATTGATGTTTCTGTCTCCCTCTCCCTTCCTCTCTGAAATCAATAAAATAAATATATTTTTTTAAAAAAACCAAACAATATTTGTACTGTCACTGCTCAAGTTTAGGCTGTCCCAGGAATCAGACAGGCCTGGGAGGAGCCGCTTCCCCCATTCTATGCCTAGCTTAAGGCAGCCTCTCCTGACTTTGATATTTGCGTTTCATAGGGCACCCAGGAAATGAGGGGTCATAGACTCACGTTGGGACACGCTAATGAGGCAGAAGGGAAACAGAAAGGAGGGAAAGGAATGAAGAAAAGGTGGAAACAGGAAGAAAGAACGGGAGAAAATAAGAAAAGGTCAGAAGGGGAATCGAGAGGAAAAGCAGGCCCACTGGAATTTTAAAGAAAAGATGAAGATGTCCCTGACCTGTTGGGACTGGCTGGGACCAGGAAGGTTGAGGGGGGAGGTGAGACCAGTCTGGGCGGGGGGGGGGAAGGGGTCATCTCTGCAGCCCATGTCCGGAGTGGCAAAGGCAGGAGCTCGTGTCCTGCCCAGCCCTTCCTTGCCGGGGAGGATGGTAATGAGCAAATGCCAGGCCGTCGTCTGAAAGGTCAAGGGGAGCCCTGACGTAAGACCCTGGGCTGCATTTACCGCGGCCGCGGACTCTGAATGCCGCGCCTGTCACCGCCATTCCCGCGGTGGTCTGTTGCTCTGGAGAAGGTCTTGGAGAAACAAAGAATGTCCTCATCCCTGCATGTCAGCCGATGCCTCATCGGCCACTTCGGATCACACGGCCATGTCATGGGGATTTCCCCTACGTGACAGGACTGGTGTGGCCTGGGTGTGAGACGACAAAACGGCCAGCTCTGCTCTCCCTGCTGCAGAGGGGGGGTAGAGGGGGGTCATGAGATGCCCCGCAGGGCACAGGAATGAGAAGTCTGCCTTCACCCGGAGGGTGCTCGCCCCGTTGGGTCTCTGGGGAAGCCAGAGCCCACAGGCCGCACCTGAGACAGCTCCAGGAATTTCCGTGAGGCTACGTGTCTCTAGAGGCTGCAGCCGCCGGTGTCTCATGTTTATGGAAAAGCACCGGTTGCCCTGAACTGCTAACGGCTTCTCCTGAGACAGGCAGCGCCCATGGGACAGCGCGGGCAGGGGATGGTCGTGGCACCTTCCTCCTCCTCCCCAGCGGCACCTGTGTGTCCGCAGCGTCCAGGCCGGTCCTGGCCTTCCCTCCGCATCCCCCCACAGCTGCCGGATCAGATCTGTTCTCTGGCAAGACATGGAGGGGGAAAGGGTTTCCTCTTTAAAAGGCCCTCTGAAAACTCTTTTCCCAAATGTTCTGAGACATGACGTTTGCCCTCTAGAACGGCCTGGACAGGCTCTCGCTCTGCAGAAGCCACATCTCCCAGGTGCAGCGGTGGGCACGGACTCACAGAACCCAGGGGCATGCCCGTGCCTCTGCCTGACCTGGGAGCCAACCCGCGGCCACACCAGCGAGGGGCCCGAGCTCTCGGCAGGTGGGGACAGCACCCCCATGCAGGGCCCTGGCTAGAGAATGCTCCGCAGAGAACGTGTGGGGAAACCACAAATGCAGGTAGGTTTTCACCCAGGTTTTCTGTGTGCGTTTTAATTACACCCAATTGACAGCCTTTGGTCACAGCTGAAACAGAACTCAGCAGGAGCCGGGCTGGCCCACGCTCCGGACCGGGTTTATAAGCAGCTCGTCCTGGGGCCCCGGGGCATTCTTCTTGGACCCCACGCCTAGGAGGCGATTCTCTTTCTCCCTGTGCCGCCTTGTTTTTACCAGGACTTGGACCCTGTGGACAACAGAAGCCGCCCTCACCTAGACTAGCCAGGTTGTCAGAGGGCTGGTGTGAACTCACTTTCACACACACTTTGCCTTGGCAGTTGCCATACCAGAATGCCACAGACTGCAGGCGTAAGCAACAGCAAGCTATTTCCTCACTGTTCTGGAGGCTGGAAGCCCAAGGTCGAGGTGCCAGCAGGGCTGGTTTCTGGTGAG